AAAGAACTCAAAAATCAGACCCCCAAATACAAAGACCCAGTTCAAAAATGGGCATTGAAATGAACAGATATTTCTCAGACTCAGAAGTAAAAGCAGCAAATAAATATATGAAAAAATGTTCAACATCACTGGTCATTCCAGAGATGCAGATGAAAACAACACAGAGATTTCACTTCACCCCAGAAAGAATGGCTGCTAGTAAGAAATCAACCAATAACAAATGTTTCTGGGGTTGTGGAGAGAAAGGATCCCTTCTTGATTGTTGGTGGGCGTGCAGACTGGTGCAACCGCTGTGGAAATAGATACAGAGATACCTCAAAGAACTAGGATTAGAGGTTCCATTTGATCCAGCTATTCCTCTGCTGGGTATCTTTCCAAAAGAATTAAAAGAGGGCAGGGATTTAGCTCAGTGGTTCCAGCACCTTCCTTGCATGCACAAGGACATGAGTTCGATCCCCAGTACCAAAAAAACAAACAAAAACCAAAAGAATTAAGAGAATCATACCACAGTGATATATGTGCACTCACATTTAGAGAGGCATGGTTCATAGTAGCTAAAACTTGGAAACAACCCAAATGCCCATCAACTGGAGACTGAATAAAGAAGACGTGGTTTTTCTATAAACTGGAGTATTACTCAGCCGTAAAGAATGAGAAAGTAGAAACATTGATAGCTAAATAGATGCACATTGAGGCTACACTCTTAAGTGAAATAAATAGGACACACTTGAATAAATACCAAATAGTTTCTCTGGTGTGAAAAACAAAAAGTGTAAGTAAGGTACAAATGGTATAATTGGGAATGTTAAATAGGAAGAAAATGGCTAAAGGGGAAGTGGGAAGGGGAGGGAAAAGGAAAGAAGGGAAAAGAAAAACTGAGAAAAAAGGAAAAAATGGAAACAAAGTCTTTGTAAATAGGGAAGGGTGAAGCGGGTAAAGGGAGGGCTGGGGAATGGGGAAAAACAAGAACCAAGACATATCATGTAAAGGTACAGATCCCAATGATAAATGTAATTGCATTGTTTGCTTTAAATGTACCAATAAACTTAACAGAAAAAAATAAATCCATGTGAACGCTGTGAGACAATATACTAATTAGCAACAGTGCTCCATCCTGTCAAAAATAAGCAGCTCTGGAAAGACCCACTGTGTGTTCCTGAGCTTTAGGATAGCATAGCATTGAAACTTCGCCAAAACTCTTTGTATCTAACAGAAACGTTGACCTTAAATTTCAGATGTACCATAAGATTCCATCTTCAGCATCTTCGTGAAAGCAAAGGTTCTTTCATTCAGTTGTTCAGATTTTGGTTTCTTTATAATAAATAAAATCAAAACTAAATTTAAAACTTCACCTCTCGTTCTCTAAAGCGATCAGGTTTAATGGTTTCCGGGCCTCCCGGCAGGTATGGCCAATGGATTCTGTCCACTGACACACCGCACTGAGCTGAGCACAGTCTCAGATTTCCCACTGCACACTCACACAACTGCCATCCACCCGGTTGGCCCAGGTGGGAGCTGGCCCGGGCCCAGCCTCCTGACAGCACCAGCGCCTCTCAGATGCGGATCAGGCCCTGATAGTTCCCTGTCTTCCCTCCCCACACACCTTCCTGACAAGCAAGTGCAAGGAGAATCTTACGCTGTCCTCTCAATTGAGTGGTGTGAAGCAGGAGGCCAGAGAGGCAGGGATGTGATCTGAGCACTGCAGGCTGAATCATTTATCACGTAGTGCTTCCCCAGAGTCTCTATATGTCTGCTACCGAGAGTAAATAGTAACAGCCCCATGTGTTTGGAGAAAACTTATAAATCAAAGTGCTTTTGTGCTCCCTAGCTTTGAAGGAAGACCTCATCAAAACCGTGGGGGTGCTGAGAAGAGGATTAGGTCCTAATTTAACCTAATTAGCGGGAAGTGGATGCTAATTGGATCGATGTACAAGCTGGAGGTTGTGCAGCCCATAGGAAAGGAGCAGTGCCCGCCCAGGGTCAGGGCTGTGCTCTGCTTCTCCTGACGGCTGCAGAGTGTTGCCTGTGGCTGTGTGTGCGTGTCTGAGACCTCTGGGTCATGCAGTGCTTTACAGTTCAAAGGCATTATATTATAGTTACGATTAACACACACAAACACGTACACACACACACACGTACACACACAGTGCTGGTTTTCTTCATAACCAGAATTGGGGCTGCTAACACTGTGATAGTTCATATTCTCTTTAATAATGCCAAATGCTGCCAGCTCCTCGGTTCTGTACCTCAAATGCTTTTCAATTATTTCACAGCGAATGTGAGTTACTGGAGGAAAACACAGATGTGTCCCTTCACAGCGCGTCCAGACGCACATTTACCACATGGAGGTCTTTGTCCTGGGAAAACACTGGGATGATGGGTATCAGAGCAAGACTGAAAAGACCACTTAATAAATTCAGCCTCACGAGAACCGGTGACTAAAGTATGAGAAACACCCACACACACCCAAGAAACGAAAAACAGGAGCAGGGTGTGACCAGGCATCCAATGCCAGTCCCACGGTGAGTGTGGCTGCAGGGGCCCAAGTCCGGACTGAGCACCCAGCACTGTGCACCCTGGAGCGGTCACAGCTCACAGAGAGCAGCCGCTGGGTCACTGTTGGGGGAGCTGAGAAGCGGAGGAACCTGGGAAGGGCGCCACGTATCCCCTGGGCCACACTCACACTTACTCACACTCACGCTCACAGGCCGCTGGGGGTGACTGCTGCAAAGTTTCCCGAGTCCCATGCGCTTTCTCTCATGCTGCCCGACTTCTGAGTGACATGCTTAAAACACTGAGGGGTGACTCGGCCCAAGAGTGGGGTGTTTCTTGCTTTTAGAAACCACGCTGCACACTTCTGCCTACACTCTCTGGTCTGAAATTTCTAGGGAGTTTCAAGTCCCAGGTATTGGGGAAAGAGCAGACAGGAAAGGACCACTGATTGTAGCTGGGCCAGTGAGCCTGGGACCAGGGCAGGATCCTCCTCAGAGGTGGTCACAGGACAGGGCTGCTGGTGTCCTCAGGGACCCATGCGCTGGACCGCTAAGTAGTAGGCACCAGGACACTTCCTCAGGAGCACGGACAGCACCTCCTAAACAGCCCACTGCTCGCTTTTCAGTGGGTATTAATTTTGCTATTATTTGAAAGAAGAAAAATGGCTTCAATCTCAACATCCCATTGAAAGAAGCTCCTACAACTTCCCCTAAGCCAGCATCTGCGCTTCGACTCTTTTCAACAAGTGATTTTGGTGCCTCCGTACTGGGCAGGTGACCAGATGGTCACAGCGGAATAAGTTTGTGTATGACTAGAGTTGTTCCCAAACTGTGAAGTGTGACTGAAAAAAAGGAGAATTTTAAACTTTGAAATGCAGCTTATTAGAGTAAGAGACACTGACTTTGCCATAATCCCCTGGACTTGAACACACTCATTCTGGGCTCTTGCCACTTTCTCAGCAGCCTGGAGTCCTCATTCATGAGCGTCCTTAATTGCCCTGTCCTGGCTGCCTGCAGCGTTCTGAATTGATTCAAAACACTGACCTTCTGGGGTCAGCGTGACTTTGGGGAAGAGCCAGAGGTCACAGTGCCAGATCCTGTGCTCAAGGCAGATGAGGGCACATGGTGACCTTTTCCTGAGGCTGCTTTTCTGTTGGATGGCACTTGGCAGGCGCAGCATTTGCGGTATCTGACCACACGTCAGAAAGACTCTCGTGGAAGAGGACTCCAGAGTGGCGGGAACGTTGGGATGAGTGTGTTTGAGGTGGGGAGACAGGGGATTAGTGGCAGTGTCTTCTGCAGTGTTGAGCGTTTAACGTCCACCGTATATTTTGATCACATGCTTGTGCCAGTGGTCAGCTGTGAATGAGTGTGGTTATCCTCTGCCTGTCCCAGGGAGGCTCTGGGGGAGTAGAGGGCAGGGGGGCAGGGCCAGGCAGACTGTCCCTGTGCTGTCCACATGGCTACTCTCCCTGTCAACCCGAGCCTCTTACTTTTTCCCCTGAAGTAGTTCCACCCAGTTCAGTAGCTGCTCTCTCATTGTTAGCAACAAACAATTCTTTTAAATTAAAACACATTATCTCTCCACAACGTAAGTTAGAGACGTGGCATGTGGGCCCTGAGTCACCTGTGCTGTTTTGGAGAAATCGATCCGGAAGATGGAGAACAATCAAGGCCCCCCACCACGTCTCCTGGGAGTGGCCCATCCAGGCCAGAGGACTGGGAAGACATCTCTCAGTCCCGCAGGGAAAGGCCGCTTCTCTTCCGCATTGACCTCTCCTTCAGCAAGTTTCACCCATGATTACATGGTAATTAAGCTTTAATGAGAAGTGTTCACTGATTACCGTTAACATAATTGTGGCTGTCAGCTGGTGTCCCTGGGGGTGCAGGGTAGAGCCAGTGGGCTGTGGCTTTGAGGGTCTGAATGTGCACTGGGTGCCCACAGCCTTTTCCTAGAGGAGGGAATCCCGTCTCGCAGCCACGCCCAGGGGGAACGGGGTGAGGCCGGAGTCCACCACACACGGCGGTGAATGTGGGACACACAGCTCCAGAGCCAGCAGCAGCCGATCCTTCATCTTGGAAAGAGGTCCCAGCAGGATGTAAAGCAGGGAGAAGATGACCATAAAAATGAGATTGGCAGGTTTGTCAAATGACTGATTCAACTGCCCTCATTTAAGAAAAGAGGATCGGGCTTTGTACCTGAAAAGACCCTGCCTGGTTTCCAATTCCTATCAGAACATGAGCTGCTCAGGAGCAAAACCGGTACAGGAAGATCCACATACTGTTCTCCGCATTCCCCACCTGGAGGGCCTGGCCGTCCACCCGCGCTGGGCAGGCCTCTCTACAGCCAACAGCCCAGCGACAGGGGAGCAAAGCAATCTCTTCTTTCCTTCAAACGCACTTTCCAAAGTGCGAAGCTGGCTCCGCGCGGTGCTCAAGGGGGCCCTGGGAAGGCAAAGGGCCTGCGCGGGGCAGAGGCCAGTGGGCTGTGGGCGGGGAGGCACCTACTTGAGAACTGGATGGAGAAGCCAGACTTGCTGATGAAGAAGTCGCTGTCGAACTGCAGCGTGAGCGAGTTGAAGGTGCTGTGGATCTCCTCGGGCAGCGCCGAGCCGCTCCACTCCTTCAGGAGGATGGCGCTGTCCACCGGGCCGTCCCACACCTTGAGGATGTCGTGCGCCAGCTCCGTGTCGAACACAATGAAGTGCAGGCTGCGGAGGGAGAGCACAGTCGTGTGTTGGCCCCACTCTGCCCCCTGAGCTGGGATGCTGAGCCCCTGCACAGTCACAGAGTCCCCGAGAAGATGACAGATAGACAGACAGACGCCCAGGCACCGCGTGTCACTGGGGAAGGAGGCGCTCCGGCACAGACGCCAATGCCCAGGTGCAGTTACACCAGAGCCCAGCTGGGCCTTTCCACAGCCAAGTGCCCCCTTGCGTCCAGCCTCGGTGCTGCACCTCCGATGTCCAGGAGGGGGCAGCAGGCACAGCAGGAGAGATGCTCCTCCTGGCCAAGGCGTGCTGGCCCAGCAGGGTCCATGCCAGGCCTGGCCTGGGTCTGGCCTTGGATTTGTCTCCATGCCTTTTAGCTCCAGAAAAGCCAAGCTGTTGGAAATTCCAGCTCAGAGACATGGAGGCCAGGTGTCAGTTCCCTTCCCTGCAGCTTTCTGCTGCACTGCAGGGAGAGATCTTCTGCAGGGCACCTCTGCAGCTCCCCAGGAGGCTGGCAGGGCGGAGCAGCAGGCCGGCCGGGGGTGGGGGGGGCGGGGGCCTGATGCTCAGGCCAGCAGAAGCTCGTGTGTCCTATACCCGGAGTTTACAGCTTTGTCTGCTCATTGCATATGGACTGCAAGGGAAATAAACACGACATTCAGATCACTGTCCACAGATCTTGATTACTTCACACTCTGCATATAGCACACACAGTTGTGTCCAGTTGCTCTGTGTGCAGCGTAAAATAGTAGAGTGTCTCTTAAATATCAATATAAAATATGCCAGATACACAGAGAAGTGCAGAAATAGCAGACACTTATTTTCCATCATCACCAACATCAGCATTCAACCCTGCTGGCTTGAAGTAGTTAAGCAAAATCTTACAGACACACCTGTCCTGTCCCTTAGGACACCCAGCCATGGGCAATTCCCATTTAAATATGAAAGTCCCATATGTGTAAGCTAGCACAGGTACCCCACACGATGCTCCCGTCACTGTGAGTGGGACAGAGAACATGCCACAGGGTCAGTGTGCGGAGAGTGAGTCCTCCGTGCTGAGAAGTGCCATGTTAATTTGCGTCAGAAGCGTGAGCCATGTCCCCTGCTAGAGGACAGCACACATCTTCCTTTCACCAAGAAAAGAAGGGCACCCCAGGGTGTGGGCACCCGGAACACAGACCAAGGGCTGCTCCAGGTCCGGCATCCAGAAGAAAAGTCAAGCTGATCTCTCCTCCTGTAGCTACTTGTAGCTTCACAACAATGCACAAATGCCCACATTTTGTCACATTGGATACTGCAGCTGCCAGTATCAGAGGAGCAGGGATGCCAGTAGAAATTCTGACGGCTGTGGAACGGCCTTGGGTTTAAACGTGGCCCTTGGCCATTCCTGAGGTTGCCCATCATTTTACACCTGCAGGGCTTCCTGCCTGCAAGGAGCAGTTCAAAGTCGAGGGTCTAGGACCTTGGAGCCCAGAGAACCCTGCCTCCGGGGGTGTAAGTAATGAGAGAAGGCCAAGAAGGAAGCAACCGAAGCAAATGAGCAGAGAACACAGCACGTTAGCAGGCGGTGAGTAAACTGCGGGGAAGGAAAGGCAGAGAGAACAAGGGCTGCAAAGGCAGGAGTCAGGGAGCCGGAGGTGTCCTGTGGGCCACAAAGTGGGTCTGGGCAGGGCTTGGAGAAGGTGAGGGGCCTATTGTGTGTCCCCAAGGAACAAGGTGAGCCAAGAGGAACCTTATGGATGGTCTCTGGCCTTCGGGGAACTCCAGGAACCAAGAGCAGCCCGGAACAGGATGTGCGGCTGACCTAAGAGGAGTGAGAGGTGCTTGGGTGCAGAGAGGGGAGAAATGCAGCTGCGTGGGGTCTGTCAGCAGCTTGTGCCCTACGCTGAGGGGCAGGGACAGCAAGTCACACTTTAGCAAAGCAGCTATTCCGCCAACAGGACCTTGGGAACCACTCTTGTTCTGTGGACAGCAGCCAGGAAGGGAGAGGGCTCTCTGTGAGCCATGCACAGTCCTGGCAGGAGAAGCCCAGATGGCCCAGCCCAGCTCCACAGTGTGGGCATAGAAGGCAGCAGAACCTGGACAAGCCTGGGAGACAGGTGAGAGAGAGAGAGAGAGAGAGAGAGAGAGAGAGAGAGAGAGAGAGAG